AAAGTATTTCAAATGATACACTTATTGAAGGAGTTACAGGAAAGTTTCATAACATCTCTTTTTTTTAACCTCCATCTCATTATACCAAATGCCTTAAGTTATCACGGTTAAATTAGTGCAGCTTTATACTCCAGCTCCCTCTCTGTAAAACTCATCCACAAGTTTTGCTGTACTGTGCAAGCGTTGCAAGATAAGGAGAGGACAAGAGACACAATGATTAATGTCACCTCAGTATGCATTATCTATTTCACATAATCTGCATAAAAAAATATAATAATAAAGAATGTAAAGATGGCCACAACAAACAGCATTATCTCATTTAACACACCTGAATATAGAAGCCCAACAGACATCTGGTAAGTGAAGTACAGAAGTACAGACTTAAACAAACATTTTGTTTTTAAGTAATGATTTAGCCATTTTGTTCTGTAATCCACATTGGGTCTACTCTCCTCAAACAGAAAACCTTTACTCTTTCAACACAGACACACACATCATCTGACACATTCAATTTAAAACTGTGTCAATTTTTCCTTTGTCCCAAATGATCTTTTAATAACATGGTAACATAGACGTTTAAAACTTTTCCCATGTTTAAACTAATTGAAATCTTGAGCACAGGTTGTATATAAAGAAATTAGGTTGCAATTAAGCATAGTTATTAACGATTGTTAAATCTAATTCTAATGGTTGTGACTATTATAGACCACAGACAAGGTCAACCCCACAACACGAGAAACTAGCTTTAAAGAAACAAACCACCTGAATTATATGCATAAAAACCTCTTTCATAATGATATGCTCCAATCAGACTAAGCAAGTTCATCCATTTGAAAAAACAGCTGTTTCCAAACTGATATATTCAGAATATATCCCCACTCAGTAAGACATTCAATTTGTGTTCAGTAAAATTAAAAAGACTAAATCTTACAATAATTTGAAAAGACGCTCAGCAAAACATTGTGCTTATAAGCAAAGCCAAAATGTAGAAGTAATTTCAGCAATTACTGTAGAGTCCTTACACTAACTGCATAAACATCGTGTTCTGCAAATCAGCAGCAAGGTTTGAATCAGTCTATTTCAGGTTCTCAGTTAAGACCATGTCCCTCTCACCTCTATGCATTAGAAGGAAAGAAAGTTGGTGCCATCTAAAAAGGACAATCACAAAAGTAGACAACACAACATTTTTCTATTCTGGCTACAGGAATGACTGGAGAACAGAGGGAAGAAAGGAAAATGATTATCCTCTCTGAAACAAAGCATACTCAACCAGTACATTGCAAGACTATCTTCCCAGCAGCACAGGAACATAAGGCCATGAGATGCTTGGTTCTAAGGACTTGATCTGAGGCAGCAAGTTACCTACAACTGTAAGATCATGTGCACAAAATGCATTCTCACTGCTCTCTTGACTGAGTAGCAGCTACTAAGCACCACATCCAAAAACCATTCATGTCATACATTTGGATCTTGCTCAGACAAGTTCTGATGTCCCGCAGGGTAAGTCTGCACTAGTACTTTAGTTCAGATAAGGAGAGCACTCTAGCAACGAATCTTCCTATCACTCTGGCTAATGCACTTTTGTTTGCTGAACGAAGCAGTCCTGGAGTTCACAAATCTGGTTTCTTTCAGATGAAAGCAAACTACAAGATGTACTCTGGAGCTCTACCACTACTTTAATGGGGCACAGAAACAGACAGAAACCAGACCAAACCCACTTTGCTTGCAAATGCTGCGAGTGCAGGTAGGTGCCAGGTCCTCATCACTAAGTACTGCAGTCTCTGCATCTGCTCTCACTGGACCGCATCACTTGCTGAGGCAGGTCCAGCCCCTGTGCCTCAGGATCTCCTTTCACATACTGCATGGGCTCTGACCTCTGCTGAGGTTAACTGAGCTTCTCAGACTTTGCTTTCTCCTGGCTTTCAATCCATACACAATCTGAAATTCTCATTTCCAGCTTGTCACTTCTGCCAGTATAAGCATTCAGGTACAACCTTCAGCTTAACTTCTCTCAGTATCATCTACTCTCACCACACTGAAACACCTGCTTGTAAAGACTATTCAAACCCAAGTATGATCATCTTTAATTAAATAAACTTAATTCTGGTATTTCTTACTTTGAGTGCTAGTGATTTTAAAATAGGAATATTGTAATAGCTTGGTCACTTAAATATACACTGCACAACAGCATGTTGAAGCCAGAAATGTGGAATCATACTGACTCTGTGCTCAACAGCAGGTGTAAAGACTTGCAAACATACATACAGGCATATCAACCTTCTATTCCTAACAGGGATACAGTGGGAAGGATAATTAAGCAAATATTTTCTCAGTGCATTTCACAGCCATTAAGAATCACAATACGCTGCACTAACAAAACAGACCCTCTACTCCTCAGCATCTTTCTATCTCAATCTCAGCATGGAGAGAGATCCTCAGCTCAACTATCAGTCCTCCTCTCTCATTCCAATAATCAGTTCCTTTACCTCCCTTTTGTAACAGCCTCTGATTAGCTGGCTCTTTGGAACTCTGCTTCATCCCAGTTCTATCATCACCCTCATACTTCTTGACTAGGTTCTGAATTGCAGCAAAAGATTGCTCTGCTTTTTTCCTGTACCACAAACTTCCCTGACTGTTGAAGGGAACCATTTTTAAAAGCCCTAGGCTATATTCACAGAACCAAGCAATTTGGCATAATAAAACCAGATCAGTCAACTGAAGCACTTGGTGCCCAGGCCCCAGCTTTTACAGTGTATAGAGTTTATGAGTTCTATTTCAAGTTAAATTCAGTCTGGTGCCTCAGAAGGAATGTTGTACCATCCACATAGCTTACAACTGTTCAAAGTACCAGCTGTAAGCTGTTGGGTTTGTATGGTCATTCCCCAGCTGGAGGCTGAAATCCACGCAGTACATACACAGAGAAGAGATTCCATGTCTGATTTCCTCCAGGAGGAACCTAGCATGTACATATCAAACTGCTCTATGTAGCTCAAACTGCTCAGTAGCTGTCAAGTGGGAATGATTAGAAAACCCACTTTAAAAACTGTAATTGCATTAAAGCTTGAAGAAGCAGTGCTACTTTACCCAGTGCCATGATGCTTCTTGGTACAGAGAGAGAATATTCAGCTGGTCAGGTGTCTACTGAGCACAGGGAAGTCCCAACTTTCACAACAGAGACTAATTTTAGCTTAACTTTTCCTTGGCAATATTTAGCTTAGCAACTCTGACTCCAAAGCAAAGCCTGGGTAGAATCTGTAATTACATGAAATGTATAAGTACTGAAGCGAATGGTTACAAATTTTTGACATCGTAAAACTGCACTTCACTCTGTTTTCAGAAAAAAAAAAAAATTGAATCCATCGGCAGAACAAGTCAGACACAGAAAAATAAGGAAATAGGAGCAAATTAAAAAAACAAACAAACAAAAAAAACCACCTAGAGCAAGAAGGAAAAAAACAACCATACATTTGCTGCAAGTTCATTAAAATGAGGAAAAATGAATGTCATAAAATGTTTTTAATTTGAAAACAAAACAATAAAACTAACGAAATGTAAAATTCAGTAGGCTTTTCTCTAATTGATAGCAGCATGAGAAGGAGAACCTTTGTTTTACACTTCAAATTTTCAAATGCTCAGTATGACACTTAATTTCACTATACAAAACCACAGTCCTTTCTGGGACCCTGTTTAATACATATCACAGAGTTGCTATTGGGCTTGAATGAAAAAGATCGATCAATCCAATCATATCCTAATAGGCTTGAAATTACAAGAAATAAACAGAAAATGAAATGAGATATCCAAATAGAGCAAGCAAGAAGATGGGAAGGAAGAATAATTCAAATTTTTAAAATAATTCTAGCCTTGCAAAATTTGGTTTGTTAAATACATAAGTATAATACTACAAAACAGGAAGCAGGCCTCAAGCTTCATGCCATTTAGCTAATTTTCATCTTCAATACCCATAATGAAATACTGCAATACAATTATGCAGGAGTAATTACAGGATAATAAACTTTTTTTCCACAATTCTCTTGGCTTCTTTAACATTTAATGTCAATCTGCAATAAGAAAGCTAATAATGATCTTTGTCTTTGCACACTGCTAATGAAACAAAGCATTTCTATGTAAATTAAAGAGCCATTTTATTCATACTATTCACATCTAAATACTTCTGGGATAGAACCGGTATGCATTCCTCTTTAATACAGATCTCCTTCTCTCTGCAAGAGAGATGATCTTCTTTTGGAAATAATCACATGCACAACAACAACCCCAAGCAAAGCACCACAAAGCAGAGATTTCATTCAAAGTTGATTACTTGATACGAATGCCAGGTGTTTCCAGAGGTTTCCCATTCAAAGCCCAACATACGGCAACCATCCCAAAATTCCAGATCGTGCAGTGACAGATCATAAAATGACATCTCAAGAATTTACAGGAATTGAGTGTAAGAAAAAATACTGCTTTAGACTGGCTTATAATTAGGAACATATTCTTTAATCATATGGCTTCCAGGTCTGCAGAGCAATTAGGTATACACTGAGCTTTACACAAGTAATACATTGATTTTATGGGGAGTACTTGAGTAAGTAATATCAGCTGAGCCACATTTTGGCATCCATTGAGTTTTACGCAAAGTACTGCATCCACAACTGTTTCTACACAACCTCCAACTGTGCACCTCTATTCCCACTTACAGCTGCCACCACTGCATATTTAGTCTGATACAGGAGTGACAGGAGCTGCAGCAGCAAGGTTAAGTGGAAATTACCGAGACCAGCTACCTCCTTACTGTCACAGTTACCCACATAAACAGGGGCAATTCTGAGGGTTAAGTATTAGCAAGACCCAGGTCTTAATGGCCGTTAATTCCATATGGTCAGATTAGCTTGCTGCAGACCAGAAGATAAATCAAGAACGCTCACAGTATAACTGTACAATGCCACTGCACACACACAGCTACAAGTCAGAACTTTGCATTAATACGTAGAACTTACCCCTCTTCTGAACCCAGCCTTCCTTCACAATGGTAACATCGCTCATGATGGCTCCACTCTGAACCCCCAACTCAAAAGAGTATTTCTTTGAGTTATCAGCTTGTCTGTATGGCTTCTCTTCTGCTGCTCTTGGGAGTTTCTATTGATGAGTCACCCTGGAAGGAAATATTAGAGAAAGAATTTAAGTCTTTTTGTTTTTCTCATTTGACAGTCAACAAAACACTCTTTGTTGATGTCTTCCTCTGACTGAGCTCATATTAAAAAGTCTGCCTTTCTTCTCTTAATTAAGAATATAACAGAGTCAGATTTCTAGTTTTACAGGACATTTTTCATGAACACCTTTTCATGAACACCCATCTAGCAGAAGCCAAGTGTGTTACATTTTAAGTTATGTGGCATTATTATAAAACGCACACAATAAAATTTCTTGTACTACTGCAGAATGCTGTTAAATGAAAGTCAGTACTTCTGCACAGGTCCAACTTTGAAGTCACACTATCTTTAACCATTCCCCTACTTCTGAGAATCCATGTAATGGGTAAGTGATTCTATTATGAAGACACCGATCATATCAAAAGAGAAATGGAATGAAAGATTCTGCAAAAGCACTTAAAAGAAAAGCCTTATGATGATAACCATATCCATTAAGGCTTAACTGTCAAAATCTGTATTAAGCCACTCGCCAGCCATTCAATTATTTTTTTAAAAGCTTGAATTAAAAATAAATACATAAATAAATACTAAAGGCTACAGAAATACAATGAAAGTAGGAACAGCATTATAACTATATGATACCTAGTACAAATCCCTTAAGTTTTTAAAAACCAGCTTTGCCTACAAGTAAATGAATAGAAAAACAACTTTCTAGGAACACAAACTAACCCAGAAAAGCTGCTGTTCAGTTTATGAAAGGCAGTGCGCATTCTCTGAGGGCTCTCACACAGTCAGTGCCAGGAGTGCTCTCTCCCTCTAAAGCCTGACTTACAGAGGCAGAAGGGAGGCTCTGCCTCTGCAACAGGACATGCTGCTCCCAAAAGGCACAGCCCCCCTTCCAAACACCTCACTCTGAGACTACCAGCTAAGTGCAAAGAAGAGATAACAGCACTGTAACCAAACAGGAAGAGAAGTCAGAGGGAAGGAGAGGTTTCCTTTTGCCAGCAGACTGCCTCTCCCTCCATCCTTTGAAGTAAACAGCAACACCCACATAATATCAATCCAGAAAAGGGTCAGATGCCAAGGAGAGGGATTTCTGTGATGGTGGAGGAACACCTTTCTCTAGCTGTACACACAGGAACACATCTTTGCACACTGCTGGCATGGAACAAGAACAGAACGACCAGTTTAATACTACAAAACGCAGCGCAGCCACATTCGTTCAGTTTATTGACCAACACACGTAAATGCATGACAGAAACAAACAACTGTTGTCCCAGAAGCAGCTGTGCAAGGAATGACTGGAGAACAGATAGGGAAATAAGCTGTCCTAATGCAGCCAAGTACAGAGTAAAAACTGACCATTAAACGTACGCAGTTTACTTCTTATTTATCATTTGAAACCTGTATTTGCAGCGCTCGGCAGCCAGATGGAAGGCTGCTTCTGTACGGATACTGTGCTGTGCACAATAAACCTTGGTACGAATATTTTTTTCAAGCGATAACAACACAGTACAGCATGGTTCAGAAATACTGAGGTATCCATTTCACAGTTTTGCTTTCGTTTATGTTCTTCTAAACATGCTGAAATCCAGCTGCTTAAAATTAAAAACCGCAGCGCTGAATCCATGAGTAGCACAAAGTTTAAACAGCACAGAAGGCAGCACCTCAGAGCCACCTTCCCAGCACTGGCAGATGTAGCACCCAGCCCAATGCAGGCAATGAGCAGCCCTGTGCACCAACACCACATGCTGTGTGCAAAGGGACACCATTGGATACCTCTACTGACGTGACTGCTCCCTGCTTTAGGACTTTTATAGATTTAGGATTTCTTAAGATTTGAAAGGAAAAGCTACATACAAAGTTTTGGAAGGACAGGAGACAGCTTCATTACTGCTAATTTGTCTCTTTACCTCTAACTGTTTACACTTTGTATTATGAATGTCAGCACGGCAGAAAAAACACAACCTGACTTTCCACAGCTTTTCACCTCACTATTCTGAGACTTTTTTTTCTGGGTCACACACTATCAGAGCTTTTGTTTGTGCACTTCAGCGCAGTGATAAGCAAGTCCGCCAGCTGTGCCTCAGCACAGATCTGAAAGAACGAGGCACGGGATTGACACAGGTCCCAGCTCTGCCGTTCTGACAGCAACACAGCGTCAGCTCCTCCACAAACACACACACCTTCACAAAACCTGGGCTGAGTGTCAAAAAACAGCAACATACAAACAAACAGCTGCAATGCAATGCACATGTAGGCATGCATAGTGGTTGACAACCCTGCCCATGGTAGAGAGGTTGAAACTAGATGACCTCTGAGGTCCTTTTCAACCCAGGCCATTCTACGATTCTATGATAAGCACATTCACATCCCAGTATCCAACTTCAGTACGGCTTTCCTAGAAGACATTCCATGCATTCTTTAAGACATGAGGTGGCACTTTTTTCAACTATAAGAACAAAATAAGTAAAGTATTTAGCTTGGGGTGGCATGCACTGCCATTTGTTTTACCCTTCCAGCCACTTCAACGCACTTCCCAACGTCAGCGTGCTCTTATGCAAAGTGCAATCATTTATTTTTATTGGTAGAGACCAAGCTGTAAGGAATGAACTTCTACACTAAGTAGCCATGATGTTGTCTGTCCACAAACGGATCATAAAGTCCACGATTTCAGCAGAGACCCGGTTTTAATGAATTAATTTATGCTTAAAGTTCCCTACTTACCACCAATCATGATTTAGCTAGTATTATTTAATCAAAGTCTGAACTGTGACTGATTTTTATGTCAGCCAGTGCCCCAATAACCACAAATGCACACTTGCAGGATTGCATTCTACTATTCCCATGAACCGCTATATTGAATTTCAAAGAAAAGAAAACAAAATACAAAAATTGGATAAACACAAAAAACTGAATTATCTCCAGTTTAGCTTCACGGTATTACCAGGAACAACTTCAGTAAAATTATCAACAGTTGTACGTGGACATAATGGTTGTAAAGATTGCTCCCTTAATTGGTAATTGAAAGTCAATCCGAATTACATAGGAAGTTGTAGAAGATAAATTGAAGCATTAAAAGACTAATGAAAATAAAGGTTATGCATTCACACTGCACTTTCAAGAAACCATTTATAAGCATCTTTAGCAATACCCCTTATTAAATTCCCTTTAGATTTTCTAAAAGCTCTATTCTCTTACTCAGAAAGTCATCCAGCAAAGATTTAGAAGAACAGATTCTTAAAAACTACCTACTACAATGACAAAAAGTAACCTGGATGAAAAATAAACATACAGACATCTCGCTGAAGATGTACTGGTGCATTTCTATAGACATAAAGCAGCTCCTACAACATATGGAACAAGAACTCTCATATGAAAACAGCATTCCATCTATAGTTCAACTATTTCAAGAAAGGCTACAGAAATGTTAATGCTGCACAGCCTGCATAGAACTTCAATACTTGTTAGCCACCAAATCTGCTCTCCTGATGAAGAGCTGTTATAAATTCTACAGTTTCCCCTGTTGCTACAGGATGAACCTACAGACATGGGGGAAAAATGTTTAAGAACTGAACCTGAAGGTTTTTTGCACTCCAGCTGCTTCTACAGGGAAAAACTTAACTTGTGTAAAATTCATGTTCTAGCAACTGAAGAACAGGTTGAATTGTTGAGTGGGTTTTTTTTTCAACTTTATCAAACAAAATTCTTAGAAGATGCAATTCCAAGAACATTTTATCTTGCAGATTGTATCAGTCACATCTATATTAAAAAAAAAACTTACTGCCTGCATGTTTTATGGTGCAGATATGACAATTTACTCAGTCATGACCAGTTACGCGCAAAATGTGCATCATTTTTAGCATCTGGTAAAAAACGGTGAGGATTTTTCCTATCTTCACTGGAAAGCTATTAAGCCACTTTTACCTTGTTACAGAAACCAATTCAGCACTCTTCTAAAGAGCTATTGCTTCACTTTAAGTTTCTAGCTTTTAGGGCTGCAAGGACATCTTCAACAAAAGTCAAGCAGACACTTCTACACGCGGCAGATCCAACTGAGACCCATGGTTTTTCCAAGCATGGTGAAAAAACAACACCTTTTCATCCCAGGCAGAAAGGAGCAAGAACAGCGATTCAGGTCTACGCTTAACAACTACTATGTGCAAGTGAGTAATCATTGAGACTCGTAAGAGCAGAAAACACTCCCTTGGAATCCGGGCATCCTCCCATTTCCCCAGTGACAAGAGACAGCTGAGTACAGAAGACAGTGCCCATAAATTCACTGCAAATTGTATGATTCAGGTCTCTGTTGTAAGAACTTTCATAAACACAAGCTTCTACTTTCAACAATTTTGGAGCTGAGAATAAACAGATACTCTCACATTTACCAACTTAAGCTACCACAGGGAACACCAACAGAATCAGCTTCACCTCTCCCAGTGACTATCCCTAATCTGCCTGTACCACTCGCACCCCTCTCATAACATACAAGGGAACTTCTATTTTCCCTTTTTACATGTAACCATTTGTTAAACACAGTCATTGGTGGGAGGGGAAATCAAAAAGTGAATCTTTCTGATTCACTCTGCCTGACTCACTGAGATTCCTTGCTCTTCAGTGTAAGCAGAGCCAAATCTCATTTCTCAGAAAGGTACACTGGAAAATTATGTGCTTTGCACAGACAAAACATAACAAAAAAAGGCAGATCAGTCATCCTCTAGTCCAGTGACTGTCACCACCCCCCATGTTTGTTTCTCTGCTTTGGGGCATTTTTTTTTCTACCAGCAGATCACATTCTTAAGAGGCTTTCTCAGAACTCGGTTTGAATGCTCCGACACAACCAAACAGACTGCAGTAGTTTCCAATACTCACTGCAATCACAGAGCAAGAAATTAAAAAGATAAGGATCTAAACTAAAAACAGAACTCTCTTTAGGATTTGATGTTGAGATCCAAGTTTCATTCGTATGAAAAATGCATGCATATCCTCTTCCCCTACCCAA